CAACATCGTGAAAATGGCCATACTGCCCAAAGTAATTTACAGATTCAACGCTATTCCCATCAAGCTACCAATGACCTTCTTCACAGAACTGGAAAAAAACACCTTAAACTTCATATGGAACCAAAAGAGAGCCCGCATAGCCAAGTCAATTCTAAGCAAAAAGAACAAAGCAGGAGGCATCACACTACCAGACTTCAAACTATACTACAAGTCTACAGTAATCAAAACAGCATGGTACTGGTACCAAAACAGAGATATAGACCAATGGAACAGAACAGAGGCCTCAGAGGAAATACAACATACCCACAACCATCTGATCTTCGACAAACCTGACAAAAACAAGCAATGGGGAAAGGACTCCCTGTTTAATAAATGGTGTTGGGAAAACTGGCTAGCCATGTGCAGAAAGCAGAAACAGGACCCCTTCCTGACACCTTACACCAAAATTAACTCCAGATGGATTAAAGACTTAAACATCAGACCTAATACCATAAAAACCTTAGAAGAAAATCTAGGCAAAACCATTCAGGACATAGGTGTAGGCAAGGACTTCATGACCAAAACGCCAAAAGCAATGGCAACAAAAGCCAAAATAGACAAATGGGACCTAATCAAACTCCACAGCTTCTGCACGGCAAAAGAAACAGTCAGTAGAGTGAATCGTCAACCAACAGAATGGGAAAAAATTTTTGCAGCCTACCCATCTGACAAGGGGCTGATATCCAGAATTTACAAAGAACTAAAGCAGATCTACAAGAAAAAAACAAACAAGCCCATTCAAAAATGGGCGAAGGATATGAACAGATACTTTACAAAAGAAGACATACAGGAGGCCAACAAACATATGAAAAAATGCTCATCATCACTGGTCATCAGAGAAATGCAAATCAAAACCACATTGAGACACCATCTCACACCAGTTAGAATGGCGATCATTAAAAAATCGGGAAACAACAGATGCTGGAGAGGATGTGGAGAAATAGGAACACTTTTACACTGTTGGTGGGAATGTAAATTAATTCAACCATTGTGGAAGACAGTGTGGTGATTCCTCAAGGACCTAAAAATAGAAATCCCATTTGACCCAGCAATCCCATTACTGGATATATATCCAAAGGATTATAAATCATTCTACTACAAGGACACGTGCACACGAATGTTCATTGCAGCACTGTTTACAATAGCAAAGACCTGGAACCAACCCAAATGCCCAGCGATAATAGACTGGATAGGGAAAATGTGGTACATATACACCATGGAATATTATGCAGCCATCAAAAACGATGAGTTCACGTCCTTTGCAGGGACATGGATGAACCTGGAAACCATCATTCTCAGCAAACTGACACAAGAGCAGAAAATCAAACACCGTATATTCTCACTCATAGGCGGGTGTTGAACAATGAGAACATATGGACACAGGGAGGGGAGCACTACACACTGGGGTCCGTTGGGGGGAAATGGGGGAGGGGTGGGGGGGTGGGGAGGTGGGAAGAGATAGCATGGGGAGAAATGACAGATACAGGTGAGGGGACGGAAGGCAGCAAACCACACTGCTATGTGTGTACCTATGCAACAATCTTACATGTTCATCACATGTACCCCAAAACCTAAAATGCAATAAAAAAAAAAAAGCCTGATATAAAAACAGTTTAGTTTAATTTAAATATGCATGAGCATAATCAGATTTCAAGGTTTGAATTTGTTGAGGGAAGAAAAAGGAAAACCTATTAAATTCCTTAAGTATAATTTCAACTACTTTATATACTGATATATTGATAAAAGGTACTTTTAAATATGGATAAAAGGTACTTTTACTGATACTTGACTAAAACAAGTTCAAATTTCTCATTTAAAAAATATTAGAAAATATTTGATTTGGTTCAAAATTTGATATCTTTCCTGCTTTGAATTGTAAATATATGGTACAAAAATAATAATGGTTTCACTCAAACCCCATTAGGAAGCAGCTAAGTACCCTAAGTAGCACTACTGTGCTATAGAAATATTAGCAACTTATTCATCGGTGTTAACAAATGACAGACTGGCAAGCACTCGTCCAATCTCTGCTTCTTAAACTACCTGTAATGAAGAATATAAATATTAAAAATTATATATATGTATATAATATAAATGAAAATAAAGATATAGCTAAACAGAAAAAGAAAAGGAACATAAATACAAGCCCACTTTCTAATATTAAGGTCCAGATATAAAATTTCCTTGTTAAATTGTTATAAAAGTTTAATGATTAGTCTAAATATTTTACCTTGTCATGTCATAATCCTGCTAAAAAAACAGTTTGCAGACCAGCAATAGAAAATGGACCAAGGGGCCGGGCGCGGTGGCTCAAGCCTGTAATCCCAGCACTTTGGGAGGCCGAGGTGGGTGGATCACGAGGTCGAGAGATCGAGACCATCCTGGTCAACATGGTGAAACCCCGTCTCTACTAAAGGTGCAAAAAATTAGCTGGGCATGGTGGTGTGTGCCTGTAATCCCAGCTACTCAGGAGGCTGAGGCAGGAGAATTGCCTGAGCCCAGGAGGCGGAGGTTGCGGTGAGCCGAGATCGTGCCATTGCACTCCAGCCTGGATAACAAGAGCGAAACTCCGTCTCAAAAAAAAAAAAAAAAAAAAGAAAATGGACCAAACTTTGACTAAGTCTGATTTATTACTTTCAGATTCAAATTTTGAGTTATTAAAAGCAATACTACAATTCCTTTTCTTAGGTATACAACTTAATAAAGTTTTCTGATTAATTCTTTGTTATTAACTCTTAGAAATGGAACAACAGACTCTTATTTTATTCTTCAGTAATAAATATATAAAAAAAAATAGTAATAATGTGGTTCCTTTATGATGATCCATTCATTTAAGTGAATAGTAAATATATTTTCTCATCTTTATAATTTTCTTACAACATTTTCTTTTCTCTAGTTTACTTTATTGTAAGAATACAGCATATGAAATATACAATAGGTCAGGCACAGTGGCTCATGCCTATAAACCCAGCACTTTGGGAGGCCAAGACAGGAGGATTGCTTGAGCTCAGGAGTTCAAGACCAGCCTGGGCAACATGGCAAAACTGTCTCTACAAAACATACAAAAAAATTAGCTGGGTGTGGTGGCATGCTCCTGTAGTCCCAGCCACTCTGAAGGCTAAGGTGGGAGAATCAATTAAACCTGGGAGGCAGAGGTTGCAACGAGCTGAGTTCACGTCACTGCACTCCAGCCTGGATGACAGAGTTAGACTTTATCTCAAAACAAAACAAATATATACATATCAATGTATATGTAACATACAAAATAGTATTAACTGACTGTTTATGTTATCAGTAAGGCCTCTGGTCAATCGTATGCTATTAGTACTAATGCTTTTTGTGAGTAAAAACTTGTATTTGAATTTTCTACTATGTGGAGTGTTTCTACCATGTGGTGCCCCTAGCGCCTCTATTGTTCAAGGATCAACTGCATATATTTTAATACACACACACACACACACACACACCTCGTTTTACTGCACTTTGCTTTTTGTACTTCACAGATACAGCATTTTTTACAAATTGAAGGTTTGTGGCAACCCTTTGTCAAGCAAGACTATTAGTGCTATTTTTCCAACAGCATGTGTTTGCTTCATGTATGAATTTCACATTTTGGTAATTCTCACATTTCAGATTTTTTCATTATTATTATATTTATTATGATCATCTGTAATCAGTGATCTTTGATGTTACTATCAAAATTATTTTGGAGTTCCATGGACTACACCCATATAAGACGGCAAGCAATCTGTAAATGTGTGTGTGCTAACTGCTTTACTGACTGGCCGTTCCCCAGTCCCTCTCCCTTTTCCTTGGCCTCCCTATTCCCTAAGACAGAACGATGCTGAAATTAGGCCAGTTAACAACCCTGCAATGGCCACTAAATGTTCAAGTGAAAGGAAGAATTGTACATTTCTAACTTTAAATCAAAAACCAGAAAAAAATTTAAGCTCAGTGAAGAAGGCATGTCAAAAGCCAAGACAGGCCAAAAGGTAGGCTCTTTAGGCCAAACAGCCAGGTTGTAAAAGCAAAGGAAGAGTTCTTGAAGGGAATTAAAAATGCTACTCCAATGAACCAAAGAAAGATAAGAAAGCAAAACTGTGAGGGAGAAACCCCCCAAGAGCTGAGGCAAAGGTCTGAGGCCTCAGTCTGCTCTCATATAAATACAGAATTAGAAAAGAATTAGAGATATAGTTACATAGTTATTCCTATATATAATCATAATCACATAGCTATTCACATGTCATCATAAATATATATATATAAAATCATATAATCTTTATCTTACTAATAAGTCTCAGATCAAGAAGTATGGGACTGAAGTGGCATTGGAAAAAGAGGTGACCCTAAGGCAAGATGCTGTAAACCCTCTGTTACGCCCGCGTAAGGGCTGCTGGAGAGTGCCTTGGCTGTGCAGCAGCACCAGTGCTGTGAAAGTGCCTGCTGTTTAGCCAGCTAGGGAAGGAGACGCCCAAGATGGCCGAGAAGTCTCCTTCCTCGGGGGAGTAAGGAGAAAACTCCACTCTTCCAAGCTCTTGTGGAAGGCCTGGCAGCTGTCAGGGAGGCACACAGACATCCGGGGGCTTAAATGTCTCTGTGTGATACTGTGCTTCAGCGGTCACATTCCATGTCTACTTTCATGTTCTGCTTCTGTACCTGGTTCCTCTTTCTTAAAAGATAAGAATTAGTAATAGTAACATAAATCTTAGTGACCTTGCTATTTCTTGACAAGCATGAAAAAAGTGCTGATGCCTTAGCTTTTCTCCTTGCCTCAGCTTCTTGAAAATCCTGGAAGAAAAAACAATCTAATTTTTTATATCCACATCAAAATGGAAGAAAATCCTATTTATGACTCATAGAAGATGCCCTAATTTGGTTGGTAGAATCTAATCAATTCAATTCTGAGATAGCAGAACTCAGAGTGACACACATGGGAATGAGAATGAGTATCTTTCCCACACCTGAGAGTCCAGGTCTTCTCCTTTCATACAGAAATTGGCATCAATGACATTCAGACCCACGAGCAGACCAGCAATTATGGCTCCTTCTTCTTCCATCATGAGGGCATTGGGTTCATAGAATTCACTGTAAGAGAAATCCACAGAATTCCTTATTGTAACAAAAATCTCAAAAAACCAGTGACATAATCATAAGACAAGGACAAAAATGTTTGCTTCACGGTTGATTACAGTCACCTACAAAAACAGTAAAAAGACTGCAAAAAGAAAGGCTTTAGTAAATATTTTATTTTTAGATAATGATTGGCAAGTGGCACTGGTGAAAAAACTTTTTAAAAGAGAAAAGATAATAGGTGTATCAATAGATTATTTAGATAATAGTATGGCGGAAAGACATGTGATTGAACACAACTGTGGTTGAAGCAGGTATTGAGACTTTTTTGACATATTTGTATTTGTGATGCACCATCAGATAATTTTTCAATCTTTTATGTATCTTTTTTTTTTTTTTTTTTGAGACGGAGTTTCGCTCTTGTTACCCAGGCTGGAGTGCAATGGCGCGGTATTGGCTCACCGCAACCTCCGCCTCCTGGGCTCAGGCAATTCTCCTGCCTCAGCCTCCTAAGTAGCTGGGATTACAGGCACACGCCACCACGCCCAGCTAGTTTTTTGTATTTTTAGTAGAGACGGGGTTTCACCATGTTGACCAGGATGGTCTCGATCTCTTGACCTCGTGATCCACCCACCTCGGCCTCCCAAAGTGCTGGGATTACAGGCTTGAGCCACCGCGCCCGGCCCTTTTATGTATCTTAAAACATTTGCTTGGTAGCTGGGTGTGGTGGTTCACATCTGTAATCCCAGCACTTGGAGAGGCCAAGGCAGGAGGACTGCTTGAGCCCAGGAGTTTCAGACCAGTGTGAGCAACACAGTAAGACCCCATCTTTACTAAGAACAAACGACAAAAAAATTCTGAATGGGTAAAAATTATTGGCTGGGCACAGCAGCTCACGCCTGTAATCCCAGCACTTTGGGAGGCCAAGGTCACTTGAGCTCAGGAGTTCCAGACCGGCCTGGTCAACATGGCGAAACCCTGTCTCTACTAAAAATACAAAAATTAATGGGGTGTGGTGCTGCATGCCTGTAATCAAAGCTATTAAGGAGGCTGAGGCAGGAGAATCGCTTGAACCCAGAAGGCGGAGGTTGCACTGAGCTAATATGACGCCACTACACTCCAGCCTGGGTGACAGAGTGAGACTCTTGTCTCAAAAAAAAAAAAAAAAAAAAAAAAAATCTGGCTGGGCGTGGTGGCTCATGCTTATAATCCCAGCACTTTGGGAGGCTAAGGCGGGGTGGATCACAAGGTCAGGAGTTTGAGACCAGCGTGGTCAACATGGTGAAACCTGATCTCTACTAAAAATACAAAAATCAGCTGGGCATGGTGGCAAGTGCCTGTAGTTCTGGCTACTTGGGAGGCTGAAGCAGGAGAATCACTTGAATCTGGGAGGCAGAGGTTTCAGTGAGCTGAGATCATGCCACTGCACTCCAGCCTGGACAACAGAGAGAGATGCTGTCTCAAAAAACAAAAAAAATTATTCAAAATCCATAGATAATTAAATACTGCTTATAATGCACCTAAATTACTAATACACAAAAAACCAGTGACATAATTCATATGATCTAACTATTGTTTTCCTTGGTATTTACCCAAGTGAGTTAAAAACCTATGTCCACACAAAAACCCACATACATGTGTTTATAGCAGCTTTACTCTTAGTTGCCAAAATTTGGGAGCAACCAAGATGTCCTTCAGTAGATGAATGGACAATGGCCTATGATTGAACACTAAAAAAGGGAGCTGTCAAACCATGGAGGAAAGTAAAATGCATAAAATGTGCCAGTCTGAAAAGGCCATATACTGTATAATTCCAACTACAAGACATTCTGGAAAAGGCAAAACTACAGAGACAGTAAACCCCTAGTAACCACAGAGCAATCACAGCACGATCAGTGGTTACCAGGGGTTGGAGGACAGAGAGATGAATAGGTGGAGCACAGAGGATTCTTTTTTAGGGTAGTGAAAGTATTTTGCATGATATTATAGTGACATATGGATCCATGTCATTATAGTATACATCTGTCAGATCCATAAAACATACAATGCCAAGAGTAAACCCTAATGTAAACTATGAACTTTGGGAGATAATGATGTGTCAATGAGGTTCATCAGTTATAACAAATGTACCACTCTGGTGTAGGATGTTGATAATGACGGAGGTTGCCCAGAGGGGAAGGGGATATATGAAAAATCTCTGTACCTTCTACTCAATATTGCTATAAATTTATAACCACTCTAAAAAATACTCTTTCAGATTTTTTTTTTTCTTCCACCACCTCTCCCTTTTTTATTGAGAAGAAGTCTCACTCTGTTGCCCAAGCTAGAGTGCATTGGTGTGATCTCGGCTCACTGCAACCTCAACCTCCCAGTTCAAGCGATTCTCCTGCCTCAGTCTCCCGAGTAACTGGGATTACAGGCATGCGCCACCACGCCAGGCCAAGTTTTGTATTTTCAGTAGAGACAGTGTTTCACTACGTTGGCCAGGCTGGTCTTGAACTCCCGACATTGTGATATACTTGCCTTGGCCTCCCAGAGTGTGGGTATGACAGGTGTGAGCCACTACACCCAGCTGTCTTTTAGATTTTTTTAAAAAAGCAAAACAGACTGGGCACAGTGGCTCACTCCTATAATCCCCACACTTTGGGAAGCTGAGGCAGGTGGATCACTTGAGGTCAGGAGTTCAAGACCAGCCTGGCAAACATGGTGAAACCCTGTCTCTACTAAAAATACAAAAATTAGCCAGACGTGGTGGCGCATGCCTGTAGTCCCATCTACTCGGGAGGCTAAGGCAAGAGAATTCCATAAACCCAGGAGGTAGAGACTGCAGTGAGCCAAGATGGCACCACTGCACTCCCACCTGAAGTGCCTCAAGCCCCCCAAGTAGCTGGGATTATAGGTGTGCACCACCATGCCTGGCTAATTTTTGTACTTTTTTAGTAGAGACAGGATTTCACCATGTTGGCCAGGCTGGTCTCAGACTCCTGGCCCCAAATGATCCACCCACCTTGGCCTCCCAAAGTGCTAGGATTACAGGCGTAAGCCACTGCACCTGTCCAATTTTGTGCTATATTTGAATTTAATGCTACATGTCAAGTTCTTGTCTTACTGAGCCTGAGCACATGCTGAGGTGCTTTCTGTTTTCTGGAGGTAAGTCTTGGCCTGCCTTGGAAAGGACCAATATATACCACAGCGATAGGCAGAACACATATAGCATAAATCTTCCATTTGGGAGTATATGTGTGTGAGGTGTAAGAGAAAGTATCAGTGAAGCTGTCAGGAACCAACTGTTTCTGATCTACCAACAATGGCAAACTTACGTGGTTTGACTATATGATGTAGAACATGCCAAGGAAAGAAGAAAGTTCAAGACGGTGTTCATACCTGAGAAGTTCTTTCTTATTGATCAAAGCTTTCATATATTCTGAAAGTTTCTTTTGCATTAATGCCAAACGAAGCCAGGCTCTTCCTCTACCCACTGGAGTCCTACAAAAACACAGAAATCAAACAACTAAAAATATAAGCACCAGAAGCAAGGGCTACAGTAGAATCAGTTCACTTATTCTTGCTAATGGTGTTCCAGTGTAACAAGTGCACTCAGGTGCTCCTCAGGACCTCTCCTGGCACATTCCTATGCAAGGAATTTTTGTGTGTGGGCTAATGTGACCCAAGGGGGTGTTTGGGACAAATGCTTTCATAAAGAATTACTGAATGTGACTATAATTTGAAGACACAGCCTCTGAGAGACCCAACTAAAAATGTTCCAAGTCCTCATAAATTCAGTGTGGATTATATAAATGTCCAAAGCATGAATGTGGACACAAGCAAGCTAGGCCTCTATCTGATTAAAATTAAACTAGTCTAATTTGGGAAGGTGATCACTACTTTATAATTCTAAGGCAGGCCTACAGGCACTAGCTCTTCAGATTGATTTGATAGCTGTTTTAATCTTGACTCTCAAACCCCCTGAATACCTTTTTTCCCTAAGTCAAGTCCAGCATTTCACCCCCTTAGATAAAATTGATTGAGACTCACTAAGTGATTCTCTCTCTCAAGTGCTTTAACAAATAAGGAAATGTTTGGTATTTCAACATAAAGACGACCTCTCTTAAATGAATAATTATCCCTCAAGAGCACGTTTTTCTTAATATTCTATATATCAATTCTCTCATATCAGCACCTATTCGTGACACCATGCATTCTGGATTGTTATAAAAGAAATCATTAGAACATAATTGTCTTTAATATCACTCTTCTAGGGATAGTTAATAAGAATCCTGTTCCTGAGAAACAGAATTCAACCTCAGACTTACTTGAGTCCTGGAAGATCTTTGACACTTGCCGTTATCTCTGCGGCTTCTGGAACAAGCTTTTCTACCAGTTCTAGAGGTCCCCAGAAGGATTTATTTTGTCCAAGAAAAGTTTTTTTAGCTAAGGTAACAAAAATAAAGCAGTATTTTAATATTCCTTACAAGACAAGCACCTCTCTCAACACACATACACACACCCACACACCTTCTCGGGAAACCAATCCTAGGTTATAAGATGGTTTTAGATTCATTCATGCTTTTAGAATAGATAGTATTTTGTGAAAATAAAAAATTCTCTACGTCCTAAGACTTAGTCTTTCTTCTTTCAAGAACAATTTGTGACCTAGCCCTATAATATAATAAAACATTTTAACAATATAGTACCTAAAACTGTGTGGTATTAGTGACGAGAACAGTTCAATAGAAAAAAATATGTAATCCAGAAATAGGCTATGGAATATTGGGAAGTTGGTAAGTACAGGCACAGAGATTGAAAAAAACAACCAATCAAACAAAAAACAATAAAAAAAGAATATTGGGAAGGTAGGAAGAAAGGAAACAAGGGTGAACTAGAGCAGGTACTGCCCTCAAAAGCTTATAGTTAAGTGGAAAAAACACTGAAACAAGAGTCAGGAAACCTGAGTTCTAGCACCTACTCTGCCACAACCCAGCGTATGACCTTGACCAAGTCCTGTCTCATTCTGGGCAGGCCTCTTTCCACCTGTCAAACAGTACTACTGTATTGGACTTGATTACTTAGAATTGCCCTTCTAATTCTAACATTTAATGATCTGTATTTTATAAGCTCTGTTAAGTCCACTGAGTCAATCATACCCCTACTCCCATACAGACTGCATTCCAATGGATTAATATTATTAATTCAAGCCTCTTATTCTTTGGCTCCACAAAGAATGCTTTCGTCCATAGCATGCATTGCTAGGAAACAGCTGGATGCATATTTGCATTCTGGGACCATAGCCTACCTTTCAAGCCATGTTTCAGACAGTGTTCCATCACCACAAAGAATTGCTGGAGAGGTGCATAGTCAGAGTCAAGAGTCCTTCCCAGGTTCAGAGCTGATTCAATCAGGCCCTTGATACTCAGCTTGGCCATGTTCATGAGGTTCATGCGTTCGTTAGCCATGAGATAATTAGGATCTGCAGGCAAAGGGGAAGAAGAAGAAGCCTGGTTACTAGAAATAGAACATTTTAAAATTCAATATTAGTTGTATTCTTCTCTGTCATGTGCTCGCTGTGAAAAAAATGCCAGTTTCCTTTAAGAATATCCTCAATAAAGCAGTAAAAGAAATTATTTTATCAATTCTGAAGCCTTGAGTTGTCTTTTTTTCTTTTTCTTTGAGACAGGGTCTTGCTCTATCACCCAAATTGGAGTAGGCAGCGGCATGATCACAGCTCCCTGTAGCCTGAACCTTCTGGGCTCGAGAAATCCTTCTTCTCTGCCTTTCGAGTAGCTGGAACCATAGGCTCACACCACCACACCTGGCTAATTTTTGTATTTTCTAGAGAGACAGGGTCTTGAACTCTAGAGGCTGAAGTGATATTCCCACCTCGACTTCCCCATGTGTTGGGATTATAAGCGTGAGCCAGTGTGCCTGGCTGAGTAGTCTTTAAATATTCTCACCACTCCCTCTGCTACCACCCTAACCTGGGTGCTGAGTGTCTGTCATAACTCCCCACTGCACTACCTTCACACTGATCTCTCTGCTCCCATTCTTGCCTACCCCTCTTTTCTCTGCATAATTTGTGAAGTGCTCAAAAAATAAAGCCTAAATGTAGGAAAAAAGGGTAAAGGGTTTAAACAAATTTTGTATTATGGTATTTTATTATTTTTTTCTTTTGAGGAAGAGTCTCGCTGTGTTGCCAGGCTAGAGTGCAGTGGCATAATCTTGGCTCACTGCAATCTCGCCTCCCAGGTTCCAGCGATTCTCCTGCCTCAGCCTCCCGAGTAGCTGGGATTACAGGCATACACCACCAAACCCAGCCAATTTTTGTATTTTCTTAGTAGAGACAAGGTTTTACCATGTTGGCCTTGATCTCCTGACCTCATGATCCACCCACCTCGGCCTCCCAAAGTGCTGGATTACAGGTGTGAGCCACCGCGTCCAGTTGGAGTTTTATTATTCATTGAACTATTAAGTAGCATTATTAGTATATTGCAGTACTAGAACTTAATCAACTCCCACATTGTTAAGTCTTAGCATACAGTGTATGGCTCTCATCAACCAGGCAGATAAACTCTATGGGGGAAGGGACTAAGTAACACATGTTATTGTACTCATTATCTTCATTTATAGGTGCTTACCCTGTGCCAGGCACAGGGGACTGCCTCTTACCATGATCATCTCCATCTCTCCCTACAACATGGTGTGAGACAGTCACCAATGCAACAATTTTACAGGAAAAGAAAATGAGGAGAGTAAAGCATCAACTGCTCTGCTCTGACTCCCTGTATGACCTCGGGCAAGTCCCCATCCCATTCTAGGTCAATCAAATAGCTGCAGCTGGCCCACGGGCAAAGCCAATGATCAATGACAGAGCCAGAGGCCAGACTCCATTTGTCTGACTCCAAACCCTGTGTTCTTGATCACAACAATCCACTTATAAATAAACTGGTTACTCCTAATAATATTTATCCTTCTCTCCTCCTGACCATTCTTTTACATGACCATTCTACCTATTTATTCTCATGATACTTAGGTATTCTCCCTTCCTTGAGGTGCTAAAGCAGGCCCATAATAGCTAAGTGGTCCAAGGTATAACAGTTCATAAATGACGGAATCTGAACCTGGATCTGACATGAAAGCTAATGCTCTTACATTATGCCATATGCATCCTCCCAAACACCAAATACATCAAATTTCTACTGAAAGCTAAAGAAGCCTAGAGCCCTATGAAGTATTCCCATTTCTTCTTAGGAAGACTAAAAATACTAATAAAGCTATGCTTCCATAATACAAATAAGCCACTTAACAACAAAAAAAAGACAGACTGTTTAATGCAAATTATCCCAAGCAATTTTCTTCACACAATGTTTTTATTTATACCTGCTTTCAAAGTTAAATGAGCAGAGTCAAATGGTCAAATTCTAAATTAATCTTCCCATTAAGTTTAAGGACTTAGGGATTTGCACTTCAACCATATAAATCTTGGCTTGTTGTCATGTTGTCTGAGGTTACTTTTGGAGAAACACTTACATGTGAGAGTCAGAATTGGTATATATTACCATTAATTATTTCTTGCATAACAACAAATGTTTTAGGGCCATAGCTTGAATGTGGCTCTCTCGATTCATGACAGATCAACTTGTTAAGGGTAGTATCCTCACAAGAGGACAGCAAAATGCATGGAAAACTATGCTCTGAAAGACAGCCATGAAGAACAACTATCAGACATTAATTTCCATTTATTACCAGCATTTATGTACACTCTAGTGTTTCTGACCTCCTGTAATCACTGAAAGAAAGGAATAGGGCAGGGGTGTGGGTATGAACATATGTAGAGAGCTACTAGCCTTCCCACCGAACACCTCCCAATAGATGGTAGTAGTAGAGTATGATTGGAGATAGATAACTGTCTGCCCATAGGTAACTTTGAGGTATTCACTCTGCCTCAAGCCTGTAGACCATTAATTCAGGAGCATATGACAAGATTAAACAATGCTACTAGTCAAACTTTACAAGCTGATTCCAATGTAGTGAGAACTAGTCATGTGAGGGAGAGATAGACTTGGGTTCAGTATAAAGTATCATACTGAGACATTTTTCCAGACGTAGTGATAGAGTTATACCAACCCATCTACACTGTCTCGTCTTGTTCATATAATCAGCAGCAGAAATGTTTAAGACATCTGGCTGAGGTCTGAGGTGCATGAACTATAGAGAGGTTAACCAGCCTCGATAGGAATTAAATTTCTGATACCATTGACTCCATTAGTAAGGTGCTATAATTATAATCTATTTAAACTAACTTCCACCAAACATAAACAACCCACCCATTCTTTAAAAAATACTACTCCCAACCTTGGCACTGTTGACATTTTAAGCTAGATGATTCAATTTTACAGGGCTCTGTTCTGCAAACTAATTTTTGCAGCATTCCAGTAGTAGTTAACACTAGATGCAGTTAAGACAAACAAAAAAATTTCTCCAGACATTGCCAAATATCCTTTGGGAGATTAAATCATTCCATATTGAGAACTACCAATCTAAATAAGTGAAAGTCAAACAAAAATCTGGTATAGTAATTTAACTGATAGATATAAGAGCTTAAAAGCAAAAATTCACTTCAGTTAGAATGGCTATTATTAACAAGACAAAAATAATAAATGCTGGTGTGGACGCAGAAAAAAGGGAATTCTTATACACTGTTGATGGGAATGTAAATTAGTATAGCCTTTATGGAAAACTGCAGAAGTTTCTCAAAAAACTAAAAATAGAACTATTATATGATTCAGCAATCCCACTAGTGGATGTTTATCCAAAGGAAAGGAAATAATATAACAAAGAGATATCTGCATTCCCATGTTCAATTCAGCACTATTTCACAATACCCAAAATATAAAATCAACCTAAGTGTCACCAACACGAATAGATTAAAGAAATGTAGTGTGGATCCGACTTTCAAGATGGCCGCCTAAGAACAGCTCAGGACTTCAGCTCCCAGTGAAAGTGCAGAGGGTGAGTGGACGCCGCATTTCAGACGAAACTCTTATTGCCCACAGAACCAGGAGATACCCAGGCAGAGGGGTCGCCAGCGTCGCAGTCCCAGCCGGTGCGGCTGTTTGCCCCCGCGTGCTGATTCCGCCCGCGCGGCTGCTGTGACCACTCCCTGTTTGCGCGGTTCTCCGTACAAAAGCCACTGGTCTGGGAGGCCCTCTTAGCTGGCGAGCAGAGCCCTGAGACGGCGAGTTGCCCATTCATCTGAAATAGCGAGCTAGGCCAGGAGATTCCTAGGCAAAAAAATCCGCAGGAGCCGGCGCCGCGTTCGAGCCGACTCCGTGAGTCGCAGCACGGGAGATCCCGGCGCCTTTTCAACAAGCGACCGGAACGCGGGGTCGTTCAACTTAAAAGAAAAGACTCTGAGTCAGGGAGCCAGGTGATCAGGCTCGGTTGGTCCCACCCCTCCACCCCCAACAACAACGAAAACAAAACAGTAATTGGAAACCCTCTGGGTTGAGCCCTTCAAACCAAGCACAACTGAACCGGGACGGTCCGGCTCCGTGGGGGGGGGCTTCCGCCATTACTGAGACTACTCCACCGCTACGGAGGCAGGCTGCCGTTGCCGAGGCAACCCGCCGTTGCCGAGGCAACCTGCCACAACAGAGAGAGTCCCGCCATAACAGAGGCGGGGCCACCATTGCCCAGACAGTTCTAACTACGCCCATATAAAAAGGACTACAGGAAGAGCTCAGGGCAGCTGGGCGGAGCCCACAGCAGCTCAGGCAAAGCCCTCGGGGCCAGGCAGAGGCTAGGCGTGCTGCTTAGCTGGGCGGGTCCGACCTGAAAAAGAAAATCAAAAAGCAGTAGTGCAACGGAAACTCATAAAGCTCCAACTCCCTGGGACAGAGACAGACAACAGGTGGATAACCCCACAAAAATGGGTAGAACCAGCGTAAAAAGGATGAAAACTCCCGAACCAGAACACCTCTCCTCCTAAAAGTGATCACAACTCCTCACCAGCAAGGGACCAGACCGGATGGAGAAGGAGGGTGATGAAATGACAGAATCAGACTTCAGAAGATGGGTAGTAAGAAACTACAATGAGCTAAAAGAACATGTTCTAAACCCATCGCAAAGAAAATGGAACCTTGAAAAAAAGATTGTGGACGAACTGCTGACGAGAATGGACTAGCATAGAGAGGAGAATAAGTGAATTGATGGAGCTGAAAACGCAACACGAGAACTTCGTGAAGCATGCACACAAGCTTCAACAGCCGAATTGACCAAGCAGAAGAAAGGATATCAGAGGTCGATGACCAACTCAATGAAATAAAAAGAGAAGGCAAGAACAGAGAAAAAAGCGCAAAAAGGAATGAACAAAATCTTCAAGAAATGTGGGACTATGTGAAAAGACCTAATCTACGTCTGATAGGTGTACCTGAATGTGATGAAGAGAATGAATCCAAGCTGGAAAATACT